ATCAAGGTCTACTAATAACACGAAATGCAGCACTTTTGTACCCAAAATGTGGGTTAAAAAATGTCACTGTCTAAACCAACATCTTTGACTTTTTCCTTTATGTTAATTAATCTTGCATCGTGCATAAAGACCTCCAGGCGAAACTAACTTCTCCATCCGACCATCCATCTTCTACCACTTATTCAGAGTCGGGTCATGGGGGCAGCAGCCTATACAGAGAAGCCCAGACTTCCCTCTCCCCAGCTACTTCATTCAGCTCTTCCTGGGAGACCCCGAGGCGTTTCCAGGTCAGCTGTGAGTCACAGTCTCCCCAGCATGTTCTGGGTTTTCTCCGTGGTCCCAACAGGGGCATGCCCACCTCACCAGAGAGGCATCTGGGATGCATCCTGATTAGATGCCCAGACCACCTCATCTGACTCCTCTCAACACAACCTTGACTTAAGTGTTTAATATCTATACATTCAAATCTTTCACTGATCTTTTCAGGTGTATATATACAGTACTTTGTGGCACTGACTTTACCCAATCCAATCCACTTTATTTATATAGCAAATTAAAAAAATAATAATAAGTTAAGCAAAGCGCTGCACAGTGCTGTAAAATAAGTTAAAACACACAGAACATAAAACGCTGTCTGAGAATAAAATAAAGAGTCATAATAAAACCTCACAAAAACACTTAAAGATAAATAGTGAAGACATAAAATAAAAACAGTGTAACAGCAAATAAAAATCCAATAAAAGAACAGACAGAGACAGACCACACAACTCTCATGCTGGGTTGAAAGCCAAGGAGTAAAAATAAGTTTTTCAGGTGGTATTTAAAAGCTGTTTATGTTGGGGACAATCTAACATGAGGGGGCAGCTCATTCCACAGTTTGGGGACCACTGTGGAGAAGGCATGGCCACCCCTTGTTTTTAGTCTGGTCTTAGGGACCACAAGAAGCTGCTGTCCTGTAGACCTTTAAAGGAGTGTATCTTTGCAGGAGGTTGGAAATGTATTGTGGTGCCACTCCATTTACAGATCATACTATGAGTGAGATATTCTGTGCACACAGTGTTTATTTAGTAGAACTATTCCCATTATTTTAAGTTTTTGGATGAAAAGAGCACCTGCAAGCTAAACATAATTTGCTAATGGCAAGACTCTCTGAGAAGTTTAAAGATACCAGGAGTGTTTCAGCAGCAGCTTTACTATAACTCTGAATAAAGAGGACAAAAGACTGTACAAAGACGATGCTTTCCACAGTGTGCAGTGCAGAAGAACAAAACAGATCTCTTTTGTCTTAAGTGAAGTCAACATGCCGCCATAGAAAGCCACAGACATTCCAAGCCAGAGTTTGTGGGAACTGTTGTTCTGCGTAGCTTCTCTGGAGGTGTCAAACTTTGTCTCCTCTAAGATCAGAATTAAAGTTTTACATTTTAACTCACATTATAAAAACACATAACATGGTGTATATAAATGTATTTTGTCAGTAATGCATCACCTTTTGTTCCGTCAGGGCCTTGGGGGTCTAATATCATGACAGCCTTATCTTGGATCACAAATTCATGTCTTAAGTTTGTACAGAATAACTGCTGGAAACACTGAACAAAATATTTACAATTTTTGGTTAAACCTTCTGCAATCATAGACATACATTTATTTGGAGGCAATATGACAACATCTATGTGTTTATATCTATAATGCAGGTTATTAAAAAAGTAGCCGATGTAATGACTTGTTGTGCAAACTAAAAAGCTGAAGTGTCTCTTTGGATTGCTAAATGAATATTATAAACACAGTAACCTTTCCATGCAATTATGTGTTATTGTTTTTCCAGGTGATTTGAAAGGTTGCTCAGTGATTTTGTTTCAGCAAACAATAAACAATCACAGTTGGATAAATTTCATTTAATAACTCATTTATTCCTGAGCAGTTAAGACAGACAGGATCACTGTAAATCTCTTTTGGATATTAAAGGAAGCAATATCCTCATTCCTCTCAGGCATTGGCACTCAAATGGTTGATAAAAGAAAAAAAAGGCTTATCTGCTTACTCATAAATTTTTCAAAGCAGTAACATAATGAAAGCTTTATAAAGATCTTTTTTTTTTTTTAAAGATGTCACATAATATTACTTGAAATCCTTGCACATTTAGAGTACAGTGTGGTGTGGGGCAATTCAGCATCAGCAGTGTGAGTTATCAAATAGGTGAAAAGAGGCAATTTGGACTGTGGCGTCTTTGTCCTCTTTCTTTAATCGGAACAAGTGATAGTACCTGTTTCTATCTTTTTATTTATAGCCCTGCAAACATACCACGGTGCAAATATCAAAGGTGTATTATACTTTTTGTTTTGCATGTGGTAGCTGCCTGCGTCGCACTGCCTTTCAGCTGCTTTTGTGTATCCCCTGTTGTATTTGTTTTGTTACTTGGGAATACATTACATATTCACATTTCTGCGGCAAGAGAATCCTTTGAATATTAGTGAGGCAGGGAGCTGTCTGACTTGATCAAATATTGCCCTGCAGTGGTTTCTTTATACAAGCCAGGGTCTTATTTCTGATTCACTCTGTGCTTTTTCAAGACAGCGGCAGAAAGAGAATATATATACTGGATATATGTGTATGTATGTGCGAAATTTGCGTGCAAGGCATGACTGAGTGCATGTGTGTTCATGAGTCGGGTGCAAATGAAGGCGATATAAAATCTTTCATCTGAGTAATGCATAATTAATGTTCAGTTTGTTTACAGTAATTATAGAGCTATGTATCTAGAATGCCTGGAAAGTGACTATCTGTCCCCAGGTTAAGAATGTGCTGGCTCAAACATTTTACATGTTTTCCAGTATTTGATGAGGAGCAGCAAATTACGTAACGAGAACTTAATTTCCACAGTTTAACTGTTGCTTGTCACTGACGCTGCAGCAGTGCACAGCTGGTAAAAATAACATGCTAGCAAAGATCATTTGAGATTAAAATGCACTGTGGATCATTGCTGTGTATCCCTGTTTAATGTAAGGACTGGGACTCCTCGCCCAGCACTCAGATGAGCCTCTGTTTAGATTTTCAGAGCACTGAGCACCTCCTGCTGAGAACGGATCAAATCTCTCTCAAGATCATGCAAATAAATTTGATATTTGCTTGCAGAGCTGTTGAAGCAAAGAGTAAGTTAATGCTAAATCTGCTGTTTGAGGGTCCAAACCGCACTGCTTTTTTGCTCTACGAGAAAGTCAAGTGCTTTTGCTATTCAGGCTGTGGATTTACATCTGATATTTTTCCTTTAAAGTCGAACTGCAGGTCATTGAACACAAAGCTGTGTTGTGTTATTTTCTGTACGTACCTACAGTTCTATGAATTCTGGATGTCGAGAAAAACATGTTGATGTTGACATAGAAAATACAGAAGGATGCTGCAGAAACTCTGAAGAGCGTCAGAATTTGTAAGGTAACAAAGACTGGATTACTCTTGCACCATGCAGGTATCCTCCTGACATTCACATAATGTACTTCAGAAAAGCTGATTCATTGAAGCGGAGGCCAAGTTCTGCGAACACTTGAGCATGTTTTTGTTACTTAAGGTCAAAGAAGGTTGGGCTGAAGAGTCACACAAAGCTGGTTATCATCAAGATAAATAACCCAGAGTTACTGTGAGAGGGCACATACTCCCCTCCACATGCCGTTATTAAGTCAAGTAACACATAAAGATAAAGTTTTAGATGATTGTTTTTCAAACTAATAGTCACATTAAATATATTTTAAAAAGTATTGGCAGTAATAAATGATGGACAGAGTAGCAGCTATGTTTCCAGCTCTGGAGATAAAAATAATCATATCCTTCATGTCTTTGAGTGGGAAATTTGTCACGGCTTTACTCCAAAAATCAACCTCTCAGTGCTTCAGGCAGGGTTATAATGGTTTTGGATTTTTCATTTTAGTTTAGTTTTATTTTGTTTGGACTTTTTTTTCCCTCTCTCTCTAATTCAGTTAGTTTTAATTAGTTTTTAGAGTGGGTTTGTTCGTTTTTATTTTTTTCTAAATGATTAGTCTTAGTTTATTTTTTATTAGTTTTAGTTTTTCATACTTGGCAATAAGGTTATTCACTCGTGTAGCACTGGGTGATTTGTATTTTGGCTTGAGTGGAAAGCTCACACAGTCTTGTAAACATACCAGTCTCAAATATATTTGCGAGTGCATCTGTTCCTGCGCGTTTACTAACCAGCAGCTTGTTGGTCGTCGGTGGAAACAGCCCATTATAGTTGTCCCCTGCTTCCCTGTGCTATCTCTTGGCAGAGATGTTGCTTCTTTTTCAGAGGAGCTACTCAGAGAGGCCATTTTGTCGAGGTACTTGAGATTAGCGTTCTTGTGTGAGCTTCTCAAATGGACTTTCAGATTTGTGAGTTTTTTTCCCTTACAGTATTCCATATATCACAAGTTACAGGTTTGTGAGATGTGCTACATGAAAATAAAATACTGTGTAAATAAAACAAACATAAAGAAAAGCCAAATGCTAAATTAGCTAAACAGTTGAAAAAAAATGTATAAATCGCATTATATTGTATCACAATACTCACTGTATTATAAAATGATAAAAATAGCAATAATATTGTATTGTGGCTCAAGTATTGTGATAATATCGTATCATGGGGCAACTTGTGATTCCCACCCCTAATTTTTATCCATAATTTTAATACGTTTTAGTTAGTTTTATAAACACACGATACAGTTTCAGTTAGTTATCGTTTTTTTCTTCAATAGTTTTTAATTAGTTCAGTTAATGAAGATGTTTTTTTCAATTCTACTTTCCGTCATTTCGTTACTTTTAATTATGCATGTTAGATTAGATGAAGGAGTAGCACTATCGATATCAGGGGTAACATTAGAACTACTGCAGCCAGGTGAGTCTAAACAAGGGATGTGCGCGACTAGTGGTTTAATTGTTTAACCGCCAACTCATTTATTAAATGTTTAGTATTTTACTAGTCGGTTAAACGCTGTATTAAGCATCATGCATCTTGTTCTTCACGCCTCTGCCTCGGCTTCTTTGTAAACAGGCTGAGCAGCCAGGGAAAGAATTGCTCCTCCTCCCCACCCCCCGCACGCATACGTAGCAGGGGGCAGGGCCACAACGTTTGGGGAAGAAAGTTTGTGTGAAGCTGGCGGCAGTATATCCCGGGCAGTCATTTCACAGACCAGTTGTGTAATCCTAGCTGTGCGGTGAGCATCACAGCGCCTGTCTGGAACAAACGCTCTCATGCTCGTCTGCCTGGCTCCGCCGCCATGCCCGCTGGGCCCGGCCTCGCCATCTTCGCCATGCAGGTTTACATCGAGGTGTCTACTATGGATGTGGTTTCTCATCACTCCAGTAGAGTGGTTATAAGTGAGTTTCTGCTTACACAGCCGACAGACGACCTTGTTGTCATCTGCTGCATCAAAATAGTGCCAAACGGTGCTGATTTTCTTGTGCGGTAGGATGTTTGGAATTGTCATGCTGCTGCATCCGACATTGATACTGTTCTCAGTTGCATGGCATTTATTCATAATAAATGCCATGCATTTATCAGATATACCATTTGCCATGCAAGCTTTTAACTTAATATGTTTATTAAATTGCGAGTTTTCTAGCTTATAGACCAGTCGACTAGTTGCAAATAAAATTAGTGACTAGTCGGTGGGGAAATGAGTTGAAATCCCCATCCCTAGTCTAAACTGGATCCAGACATTGGTAAGAGCAAAGACAAGGTGGGGATGTCAGCCACTTGCCACCATAGTAGACAGATCATCGAAAAGGTGAGAGTTTTCATAAGCCTGTGAAGTCCTGAGGTCCGTTTCACGTAGGTGGTTCAACAAACTCTGAGTTAAATCCTTAACTCTGAGTTGATCTACTCTGTGTTAGGAAACTCTGAGTTTCCGGGTTCACAACACCTGATTTGAGACGGTTTTAACAACTCCGAGTAGTTTGACCTGGAGTTAAGCACGTGCACGCCAGACATAAACAGCCAGCATCTGTGGAGCGCAGATTCAATGATCAACCAATGGAAACAGGGAGAAGGAGGGGGCAGCAGCAAGCCAACAGCGAATTACAGCACGTTTGTAAAAGAAAGTGCAATACAGCAGCAGCTGCAAAGGAGAGGGAGAGGGCATGGGAGGAAATCGCTGCTCGCGTCAATGCGTAACTTTAAATCTAGTCTCGTGCAATCACAATGACAGACTGTTGCAGGGAAACTGCTTGAATCATTTTGATCATGTTTTACATTGTCAAGTAAGTATTAAGTGGCAGTTTGATCCCTTAGAAAATGCTCTTTTCACACTCAAAAATGAATTTTACTCTCTTATGATGTTCCGTTAAATGATTAGGAATATTAAACTAACTCTCAGTATGTATATGTACATATATTAAACTAACACACACTACACTCAATATTAGACTTTCACTCAGCAAACAGAAAGAGGGCAGATGCCAGAAAAACGGGTGGTAGCCCAGCAGCCCCACCTTTAACGGAGGCAGAGGAGCTGCCCCCCACCCCGTAGCAGCGATCGTCGGACTGGTGTGCGTGTGTGTGTGTGTGTGTGTGTGGGGGGGGGATTTGCGATCGGACCGGCCGCGATCGTCGAACGGGGGGTGGGGGGGCAGCTCCTCTGCCTCCGTTAAAGGTGGGGCTGCTGGACCACCACCCGTTTTTGTGTTAGTTTAATATTCCTAATCATTTAACGGAACATAATAAGAGAGTAAAATTCTGTTTTGAGTGTGAAAAGAGCATTTTTTAAGGGATCAAACTGCCACTTAATACTTACTTGACAATGTAAAACATGATCAAAATGAGAAAATGCCGATGTCTCACCTGAAACTCTGGGTTTACTGAGTTAAACCTGCTCCCGAGCAGGTTAGGTTCACGGAGTCTGTTACTGTGGTAACTGACCGCGAGGTTGAGTTACCTCTCTTTGTGAAACAGGTTAGAGTTACCCCTCTCTCCCTGGTTTAACTAACCCTCCTTTGTGAAATGGAAAACTCAGAGTTTCCCTGATTTCAGGGTTAACAAACTCGGAGTTTCCATTAAACCTGCTACGTGAAACGGACCCCTGGTCTGAGTGTGCTGTTTATATAGACGGCTTTAGTGTTCAAGAAACTCTGAAAATCAAGATTAGTGTATCAGTGTGGTAAATGTTGTTTTTCAGACACATTCAGAGCTTTATATGTCCAATAGTTCTTCTATGGCTGGATTTTAAATAAGCAGTAAAATATTGGCTGAAACGTGTAATCTATACATGTAGGCACTGATGAGTCTTTTGTTCATAATATGCATGTAACTATGTGGTGCTTAGAGGAGTATTCAGACTTTGTTTTTGATCGATTTTGGCAGCCTGAGTCAGCAGAGAGAAGAGTACAGAGGGTTAATTAGCTATTTCTTTGCAGCCAACATAAATAAAAAGGCTGTAAATGCTCTTGTATGGATGTGTGGGACATATACATGTTTACCTTTCCCTGTGGGAAATGTGGGCAGTGAACAACAGTCATTAATGTTTTGTTTTTACTTGGCAGAAATAAATAATGAGAATGTGTTACAGCAGGAGAAGAGGAAACTCAGGGGACTTCATTGGCCTACAGACAAAAATGAATGTAAAAGAGTTTTATCAGCACAGTTTCCTACGCTTATCAGTCAAACCGAGATGTTTGAAGCTAACTTTAATGCAACTGAAAACAGCATCAGAAATGAAATGCATCATTGGACTGTCCTTGTTGTGTATTTAACTGGAATGGTGAGGACAGATATCCCCCCAGATGCTTATTAAAGCTGGGCTGTAACACTGTCAGTTGGAGCCGTGGTGGAGAGGTTAGCCCTCTACCACGGTGACCCACCCTGAGGTGATGTATTTTGAGAGGAGGGGGCAGGGGCTCAGCTGTGGTTCACTGCCTCCACCATGTGCTGAGGTGACAGATGATTCCTACCTGGAGAGCTGACCAGCTCCATCTGTAACATGTCAGAGCTGGAGCGCTGCACATCTGAGAAACCAGGCTTTCTGGGCTCCTGCACGGACACACCATGACCACCTCTGCCCTCAGTGCTGTGTCGACACATGACAGTTTTTCCTTTCTGCTTACAGACTAATGCTTTTCTTAGCCTTATTCAGGTGTGAATTCCGGAAAGGGTTGTTCGGCTCATATTATTTGTTTTAGGCAAGTTCCAATCAGGTGCTCCCTTCTGCTTGGCTGTGTGCCCTGATTCAGTTCAGATGACCTGTCACCTTTCTTGGCTAATTATGAAAATTGCCCCATCTCTCTTCAGATTTAACATGGTTTACATGGGGGTTTAGGGCAGTTTGTTTGTCCGGTTTATGTCTGTTGTGGACTAAGGAGACTTTAAATTATAACCACTGTGGTGTGGCTGGTAAGTTGTGAGGACCCAGAAGCAGACATGGAGACAGAGATCAACTTAAGGTGTAATTTTAATGTCCAAACTCAGGTTTTAAATGCAAAAAGAGGAAGTCCGGTAGGCTGGTTGGCTGGCTGTCGTGTGGGCTGGAGACACTGCAGAAAAAACCAGAGGAGATGGAAGTAAGTGAACATGCAAAGAATCACTAGGAGCAAAGTTACTGACACTCTTACAAAGAGGAAGGCCAGGAGACATGTCTGTACCACTAGGAAGGGTAGACAATACTCAGGCACTGAGACTGAGGGCTGCTGGCTTCTTAAAGTGCCTTGATTGCAGATGTAGAGCAGGTGTGTAGTCTCACTCAGCCTCAGCGACCGGGGGAGGGGAGGAAGCTCTGAAAGAGAGTAAAGCCAGACCAGGCAAACAAGGAAACACAGGAAGTCCAGCCAAAATAAAACAAGAGGAGGCGGCGTCTCACCACAATCACAAGACTATGGGGATGTTGAGGGCCCTCAGACAAAGGACTGAGCTTCAACTGTGGGGTGTAAATGAAGTGAGTGAGAATATCTTGTGCACATTTCCCAAAACCACTTAGATTATGTTCTGCAGATGAAATCCCATAATTCTTTGTAATCAAACACTGTCACATGTTATTCAGGAACTGTTGAAGTTTTTCTCTCTCTTTCACAGAGCTGTGAACCTCTTGCCACCTCTGCTTTTGAGAGACTTAGCCTCTCCTGGATGCTCTTTTTAATGACCAGTCATTACTAACCAAATTAGTTGCGGGATGTCCCTTAAGGTTTTTTTTTTTTCTTTAAAACTCGTGAAGTTTTAACATTTCATATGTTGTTTTAGACTTTTATCAATTTAAGATAGGCCTCAAATGATATGCAAACCTTTCAAATTCAGACCTTTAACTCATTTCTTTACACAGATCTTTTTGGTTTGACGTTTCAAACATCTTCTTGCTGGTTTGTTCCTGAGCAACCAGTCATGCATGTGTACAGTCACAGTCACAAATGGAGAACCAAGAGGTTTTTAACAGCGCACCAAATATCCTTCCATTCTTCTTTCCTTGAAAATAAATCAAGGGCTTGACTGTAGGTTTCATAGCTCCGTAATGTGTGACGCAACGGGTCAGTTGATACTGTCAGTGCAATCTTAAGCAGCAGTCAGACACTCTGCAAAGACAAGACTTTGTATTCAGAGCTAACCAGCCATGAGAAGCTACTGTCTGACTGACTCTGTGTCCGTCTGAAAGTCTGCTGGAGCTTTGACAGCAACTAGAAGCACATTTAAGGCCCTTTGAGAGACTCAGTGTGTGGGTTTCTGTGCTGTAGCTCTGAAAGCAGCCCTACTACCAGAGTCTGTCAGGTATCTATGTCTTTGGGGGGCTGCCAGTACTCACGCTGAGGAGATGTCTGTCTTCTCTTATTGGGCCAAAGACTGCCAGTACTCAGGAGGTTTCTGACTTTATTTATGGAGCCGCATCTTATTAGTGTGTCTGGGTAGAAAATGTTCATAGAAGCGATCATGTTTAGTGAGCAGGTGGTTGTGAAAATTATATTTCTGACAGGTTGGGAAAGTTTATATTTAAGCAGCAATGAGCAGTTCACAAAGAAAATGATAATACTCTATGGGCCTGATCTACTAAGATCCCAAATAACGAGTGCTAAATTGCATGTGCAAACTAAAAGATTGCACGTGCTATTAGTGGGCGTGTTGCGGGTGATCTACTATCATTGTGTGCGCAATTGATAACAGGTGCAAAAGTGGTGCAGACCGCCCTCTTTAAAGGAGGATTTATCGGCCGTCACCATGGAGAGTTTGTGAGAGCAGAGTGTTTGAAGCCATGGAGTTGCAGATATTGTATTGGGGAACTGCAAAAAAGGCAAGGCAAGTTTATTTGTAGAGCACAATTCATACACAACACAATTCAAAGTGCTTTACAGATACAAGAAGATATACTATAAATCAAAAAAGGGATTAAAATGATTCATATATATATACATATATATATATATATATATATATATATATATATATATATATGTATATAACACAATAGAATATCTGAAGAGCACCTGTTGGAAGAAATCACTCTGAATTGGATTTCTC